TCCTCCACCACCACCACAAGGGAAGGTATATAAGGACTGCCCCCACACATCGGAGCTCAGAATGGGAGCTCATAGCCCTGAAGATGCAGACTGCAATGTTTGCGAAACGTCGGCGCAATGCTGAAACTCAATGCGGCATCCATCCGGAAGCCAACCAAGTCATTAATAATGGCCGCGAAAGCCTCAAAACTAAGATGTTTGCAGGTCTTAAAATACCCGAAAAACATATGTGACAGAGGACATATCGGAGAATTCACGGTCAAATTTTAATGGGATGTTTCGATCTAGGACCTGAGATATTAACTATTTCGTGAAACCACGACAGATAAAAGGGAATGGGGAGCTCGCTGCGCTGAGCGGGTCGTTCTAGCAAATTTGCGATATTGAGCAGATGTTTTGAGTATCTGGAAAGTAAATATATAATTATTCACACTTGAATCGATTTTTTTTCTATCTAAAATTATGAGAAGTGCAGGAAAAAAAAATAATATATTGGAAACAATATAGCATAAAATGGTGTAGGTATATTCAACAAAGTGGTATGTATTTGTGAGTTATTTTATAATATTTCGAATTTCGAATTCATCGTCCAGGGCATGAATGTTACATTTGAGACTATGAGTAATAGAAATAAGTATGAAACAATGAAATGGACGAGTCCCAACAAGGGGTAAAGAATTTTCAAATCGAATTTTCAAAACTTGCTCTTCCAGTGCATGTTCTTCATTTGCACAAAAAGTGGTTTGAGTGGTATCAATCGATTCTTTGGCAAATTCATACAACTGGCGCAGAGTAGTGATTTCATTATCATACAGTCTTTGTACGCTTGCTAGTGCTGCGGCTCTCTCGAACGTACCACCAATCCCATCACAAAGTGAGTTACGGTGAGACGTTGCAAAGAAATGCCATTCAGCATCCACACCGAAGTCCGCTTGGGAATAAACCACGTTAATAATTTTTTTTTCATCTTTATATTGAAAACTGGCACCATCAGAAAAGTAAAATTTTTTTTTAACCAATTATTTTTCTTTCAAAATGTTGATGCTTTTTCTGAGAAACTGATGAAGAGCTACGATGTCGTGAATTGAGGATTCGAAAATAACTGCAAAACTATCGTATTTCAATTGAGTATCATCGCGGTAGTATGCAACTAGCGGATGAATAGTTACTTGATCTTTTACTCAGTGATAGCTCTGAATAGCACCCTGGTAATTTTCAGCAAAGTCGTTAAGAATGACGAACTCGCCCAGTTTTGACTTCATTTTGCACTGATTCAAAAAGGCGTGTTGCCTTTTAGGATTGAAATCTTGAAGTCTGAGATCTTTTAAATCGTCATACAAATTAGTTATAAAAATATCAGTATCCTCAATTCGTCGAATTAATTTAGATCGATCATGTACGTCACTAAGTCAGTGGAATTTACATCACAAATCTCGTCTAAATAATTTTTTATCCAGAAGTCACCGGGATATTCAGAGCATTCACCAAGGTGTTAAGATAAATTTGGATTCTAACATATCATAGCACTTAAAACTTAATTTCAATTTAACATTTTGAAGAAATTTATAAACGCAGACCGAATGAGTTCCATTTTCACCAGCTAATATGCATTCGCGATGACGAAATTCAGCAAACTTTGAAAATCTGATTTTCACGTCAGAAAATTTTTCTTTAAATTATGTGTAAACTTCTTCTAAATTAGATAAAATTGAATGTTTTTGTAGTTTCTCCCAGACAACGCCTATTTTAACTGAAAGACAATCTTTTTTACCAGGCATCATACAGATAATTTCATTAGTGTTGTGGAACTCTATCACTCATTCTTCCGTAATCATACTTACCAATGATCGGCGTGTTTTTTTAGAGTCGAAGCTCCTATCCCTTTCTACTGATAGATTCAATAAGCTCAACGTACTGTGTATTACAGGACATTTTCAGAATATTGGCAATCGACCAGGACTTGAGGAGCATTGTAAGCAATTGGTGCAATTAATATCAGAGCAATTTTCAGGATCACTTAAACTCTTATCAATTGTTTCCTTAATATCCTCGATCGTTTTCCTCTTTTCAAAAACACTTCGTTTCCTCCAGTCACTGGGGATGATAGCCTGACCTAATGATGGTGGAGCTCTATTTAACACTGCTATAACAACTTCTTATTGCTCCCCATCATCTGGTTCAAACTCTTCATCGGAATTTCCTGAGTCGTAAGATCTAGACAAAGTCTCGAGGTCGTTTACCAGTACTTCACTCACGCACACTGCACAACTACCTCCTTCATAATTATCAATGCCATCTGTTCAGGAGACCCTACATCTCTTTCTGCTTCAAACCTGTGTGGTTTGAAGCAGAACTTCTTCAGCGAATAATTCACGAAAGTCGTCACTGACTTTAATGATTGACTTACATACGCGGGAGTATTTGTTTTTCCTGAGTAGATTACAACAATGCTTAAGAAGAGGTATATTCTTACTGATTTTTTCTCACAGGAATCTGTTCGAAATACTTGTCTCGGTGTCACGTTGACAAATATGATTGAAAATCGGAACAGTCCGTATTTCTGCACTTATTGGGAAGGTCAATGTGCTTTCATTGTGATTTCTTAGTCATCCTTTAGCTGAGCCAGTCATTATTTTCATTATTTTCAATGTTCCCTTTTTGACCTAATATCCTAGGGATGCAGCCCCGCTCCTCCCCCAAAAGTCGCATCGCCACCTCGGCGAGAGTGCTCCAATTGCTCCACCTCCTTGCACGTTTAAAGTATTAATGATAGCGAAATCCATGAATTCCTGTTATGAATGAGTGAGTAAGAATATCATTAATGATATAACTATGAGAAGGCGGCCTATTTAGAATGTTACGTCAATAGTGCCACCAATTGTATACTAGTCTTATGTACTACTCTTCCGTCGTTTTTATTTATTAGTTATGAGTCATAAATAATTTCCTAGAAATTGCAAAAACATTAAGCGATAATAGAGCCCTCTTATCGCCCTACTCAACACAGTTGGTTAACTTAACCCGACGCGGCTTCAAAATACAAAAAATATCTCAAGCTCCATATTGAAACACCCTATAAAAAATCAATAGTGAATTCTCTGATATGCACTCGATAACATATATTTTTTCGCAATTTTTGAGACTTGCAAACATGTTTTTTCATCAATTTTCTAAGTTGTTTATTAACAAACGTATTGTAAATTGGACTTTCTAGCAAAAATAAAATTGTTGTCTGAATCTATCACACACTGGCAATAAAACAGTACTCCATGATTTTTTCGATATAACCAATATCTGTCGAGTTACGACGTTATAAATAATTGCTTACCCAGAAACACCTTCAATTTTGTATTTTAAATAACTTTTGGAAAAAAAAAATTCTTTTTTTCCTCGCGTTTACAGACGTTTCCGGACCTCTTCTACAATATATCCAAAAATCGAGCAAAAATAATTTTTGGTTCAATTGAAATAATGTGGACTGCCTCAAATATCTTTTTCCGTATTTATCCTGACACTTTTTTGTATGGATTTTTTTATCTATTATTTCATATTCTCCAGGTCCATTTATCCAGTTTTTCACGGGTCTCTCAGTCGTTATTTGTTCCCCATTCACGAATGTAACAGATATTCTTTCTTTCTCTCGTATAGCTTTTCGGGTCTTTCCCGATTGTTCTCCCCCCCCCCCCCCC